AAAAAAAAAAAAAAAAGAAGAAGCTGCAAAATCAAGAAGTAACTAAAGTACATTAAAAAATATTAATTAGTCTAACTCCTAGAGGTGTGATAATTTAAGACTGAATGGCAAAGGAATAGGTTAAGGCTACCAAATTGGAGGAAGGTGAGAGGTTTTCATAGGAGTATGGTTGATATGGGCTATTACAGCAAAGCTTTTTTTGTAGAAATTAACAGCTGATTTTATACTTGATATGGAAATCCACATGACTTAAAAGGACCAAACAATCTCAAAGAAGAACAAAGTTGGAAAACTAGGCTCTACCTGATTGCAAAATTAAGGAATTAGGCTAAGCAGTTAAAACAAAGTGCTATTAGTGAAAAGACAGGTAAGTAAATCAACAGAACAAAATAGAAGGTTGAGCTGGTGGCTCACGCCTGTAATCCCAGCACTTGTGAGGCTGGGGTGGGTGAATTGCCTGAGTTCACAATTTCTAGACCAGCCTGAGCCAGAGTGAGACCTCATCTCTAAGAATAGCCGGGCGTTGTGGTGGGTGCCTGTAGTCACAGCTACTTGGGAGGCTGAGGCAAGAGAATCACTTGAGCCCAAGAGTTTGAGGTTGCTATGAGCTACGATGCCATAGCACTCTACCAAGGGTGACAAAGTGAAACTGTCTCCAAAAAAAGAAGGTTGAGACTTAGACCCACATGTAATAGATCACTTGATTTATGAAAAAAGTGACTGCAACTTATTGGGGGAAAGAAATATTCTTTTTTTTTTTTTTTTGAAACAGTCTCACCATGTCACCCTCGGTAAAGTGCAATGGTGTCACAGCTCACAGCAACCTTAAACTCTTGGGTTTAAGTGATTCTCTTGCCTCAGTCTCCCAAGTAGCTAGATTACAGTCACCTGCCACAATGCCAGGCTATTCTTAGAGACAGGTCTTTTTGTTGCAGGCCTGGGTCGGGTTCAGCCCCACCAACCTTTGTGTATGTGGCCAATGCCCTAACCACTGAGCTCTAGAGCTGAGCCAGGAATATCTTTCAATAAATGGATATTGAGCAACTGGCTATCACTATGGGAAAAAAAATTGAACCTGGTCTCTATCTCATACGACATGCAAAAATTAATTTGAGATGGATAATATGAAAGCTAAAACTAAAATTTCTAGAAGAAAATCTTCATGACCTTTGGGGTAGGCAAAATTTTTTTTTTTTTTTTTTAGAGACAGAGTCTTACTCTGTCACCCTTAGTAGAGCACTGTGTAATCACAGCTCACAGCAGCCTCCAGCTCTTAAAGTTAGGCGATTCTCTTGCCTCAGCCTCCCAAGTAGCTGGGACTATGGGCACCTGCCACAATGCCTGGCTATTTTTTGTTGCAGTTTGGCCGGGCCAGGTTGGAACCTGCCACCCTCGGTATATGGGGACTGACTGAGCCATAGGTGCCGCCTGGCAAAGATTTTTTTCAATATGATATAAAAACGATTTTACCAACTACAAAATAATCACAAATTGAATTTCACCAAATGCAGAATTTTCACTCATCAAAAGACAGTATTAAGGAAGTGAAAAAGAAAGACACCACTAAGAGAATATATTCTCAGTATTTATGTTTGATAAAGAACTCCTACATATCAAACAACCCAAACCCAGTGTACAAAATGGAGACGTGTCAGGCACATCACAGAACATATCTGAATAATCTTCATTGCACATCTACCAGGAAGGCTAAAATGGGAGACCGAAAATACTGGCTAGGCACGGTGCCTCATGCCTATAATCCTAGCACTATGAGAGGCCCAGGCAGGTAGATCTTCAGAACTCAGGAGTTTGTGACCAACGTGATCAAGAGCAAGACCCTGTCCCTACTAAAAACTGAAAAACTAGCTGGGTGTCACAGTCGGTACTTGTAGTCTCAGCTGCTCTGGAGGCTAAAGCAAGGAAATCAATTAAGCGTGAAGAGTTTGAGGTTGCTATGAGCTACAATGCTACAACACCCTACCCAGGATAACAGAGTGAGACTGTCTCAAAAATAAAATAAAATAAAATAAAAACATAATGGTAACCTTTGGCCCAGAAAGTCCACTCCTATGTATATTTAGAAGAGAAGTGAACTCACCAAAAGACATGTACACAAATGTCAACATAAATTGCAGCCTTATTCATAACTGCCATGAATTGGAAACGATCCATATAATCAATCAATAGAATAAATTTTGATTATCATAAATCAGATATTACATAGCAATTAAAAAATTGATATAACATGGATGATTCTCAAAAACATGTTGACTAAAAGCTGTCAGACGTAACAGAACATGCTAGGGGTTTTGTTTTGTTTTTTGTTTGTTTTGGAGACAGGATCTCACTCTGTTGCCAGGGTTAGAGTGCAGTGGTATTATCATAGCTTACTGCAACTTCAAACTACTGTGTTCATATGATCCTCCTCCCTCAGCCTCTCAAAGTGCTGGAATTACAGGCATAAGCCACTGTGCCTGGCCTATATACTATTTTTACATGATGTTCAAGAATAAGCAAAACTAGAGCCAGGCAAGGTGTCTCAAACCTGTAATCCTAGCACTCTGGGAGGCCGAGGTGGGTGGATTGCCTGAGTTCACAGGTCCTAGACCAGCCCAAGTAAGTGCGAGTACTCTACCGAGGTCGACAAAGTGAAACTCAAAAAAAAACCCAAAATAATAATACTGGGCACGGTGGCTCACTCCTGTAATCCCAGCACTGTGAGAGGCTGAGGAGGGAGAATTGCTTGAACTCAGGAGTTCAAGACTCGCCTAAGGGAGAGTGAGACCCCGATTCATGGAAAAATCCAGCCGGGCGCTGAGGTGAGCACCTATAATCTCAGCAGCTTCCAGAGACTGAGGCAGCGGGATGTCCACAGCCCAAGTCTGAGGTTGCAGTAAACTAGGATGCCACTGCACTCTGCTCAGGGCATGGGGTGGGACTCTGTCTCAACAACAACAATACATAAATAAATAATAATAATAAGCAAAACTAACCTGTGGTGATGAAAGTTAGAATCGTAGTTACCTGTGTTTTCTTTTGCCTGTGAGATATTCTGGCATGCTAGAAATATTCTAAATCTGAACTGGTGGTGGTTACATAAACTGTACATTTAAGATATGAATACTTCGCTGTATGTAAACCATAAGTCCAATAAAAAAAGTGGCAAAAGTGGAAATTACAGACTATCTAGAAAATCTTTTTTCCCCTTTTTCTTTCATATTTTTAAACATTATTCAAATTAAGATGGAGGTACGATGTTTAGGTTACATTGTTCTCAATTCCAGAGTAAGGTTCCATTTGTAGACGATCCCTCACCCCAGGGTGTGTTATACACCCTCACAATGTGCACATTAGCTGAGATCTCACTTCATACCCTCCCTCCTTCTGCCATATGTCCTCCCCCTTCCACTATCTATATAAATTCTAATGGATACTGCCAAAGATTCAGAGAAAAAAAATTATACTCATTAATATTTTGACTATTGTAAAAATGACTGAAAATAAACTATGTTAATATTTTGATTATTACACTTGATTTTGGCCAAAAGGCCAAGAAGTGATATTTTGATTATTGCAAAAATGAAAATAGGCTGGGCAGGGCGGCTCATGCCTATAATCCCAGAACTCTGGAGGCCGGGGTGGATGGCTTGAGCTCAAGAGCTGGAGACCAGCCTGAGCAAGAGCAAGACGCCCTCCCTAAAAACAGCCCTGTGTTGTGGCCCGGGGTTCTCACTTTTCGCCAGGGTGCGCTAGGAATTCCTGAGCTCAAGTGATCCACCTGTCTGGGCCCGGGCCTGCCAGAGTGCTAGGATTACAGGCATGAACCACTGCACCTGGCTGTATCACAATTTTAGTACAGTTTTTTCCTTTTTTAAATCTGTATATACATTTTTTGGCACCCTCTGTGTTTAATGATAACATGAACAAAATAAAGAAGAATGTTGAAGTTAAAAGTAGACAAATAAGTGAATGGAAATGCTTATTTATCTTTCTTTGAAGATATGAATAAAATAGAACAACTAACGGGTTTAGGGAGTATAAAGGATTGTAGCAGTGGTTCTTGTGACCTTTTGTCTCTAAACTTTGGTGCTGTGTCCAACTAAACCACACTAATGAAGTTCGATCAGGGGTTCACTCATTTAATAAAAATAAAAAACACAATCTGTTGACCATAGATATTCTCCAGACACTATAATGTGGCAGGAAAGACAAAGTTTATAATTTTGATTTTGGCCACTGTTTATCCAGCAGGTAGCAGATGCCAGTCCATTTATACAAATCAGCTCATTTTGTGGGCACAATGGCTCTTGCAAGGTGGGTACTGTTCCCCATTTTTGTGAAGTTACTCCAGGCTGCCTGCTCGGATGTGCTGGTAATTCAGGCCGGGCTCAGGCCCCTCCAGGTCAGGAAGGTACGGAGAAGCCCTCTGATTCAGAAGAGACAGAGCGCATTCGCAGGTGCAAGTGAGTTCTGGGTGTCCGGGAGTGGAGGCCAGAGGCGCAGTCCCGTTAGGCCTGCAGGCCCAGGAGGGCAGAGGCAGGGACAGGTGCAGGACCGGGTGACCGGGCGGGGTCTCCCTCCTGCGGGCAGGCGGCGGACAGCCAGGTGCGGCGGGCAGAGCAGGGCAGCCCCGCGCAGCGCCCCCTGGGCCTAGGGCTGGCGGGCGGCGGGGACGCGCGCGGGCCAGCGGGGGCGCGCGACGCTAGGCCTGCGTGCCCGGTGGTGGGGGCCATGCGGCGAGCTAAGAGTGCC